GAGAGTAGTTATTCTCCCCACATCCAGAAAATCTGCATCTTTTTGAGAGAATAATCATTAGTATTTTTGGTCTCCCGCTATACCTCTTCCTGTGCAAGCTAATAGCAGTTCACAGTATGTAGTCGTGAGGAGAGCAATATCCAGGGAGAGACACATTATCTTGTGTTCAGGACTTGGAGTGAGAAAACAAGGACTGTGGGTGACATGGGAATTAATTTCATTCTGTGTCTGCTTGCTTGAAGAAGTTTCGTGACTACCTCTGGGTTAGTGTAGGTCAGACTGTGATAGCCATGCAGTCCTGTTCTCCTAGATCTTTCTTTAGCAGAGGCTGTTTAATAACTGTAACATGCCCTGCATAGTCACATGGAGCCGTTGAGGAAGCTACTGCTGCTAGGTTTGTTTCCAGTGGGTAGCGGTAAGCAAAGGATTGATGCACCAAGCATATTTTTTTCCTCCCTATTGCAAGCAGATGTCCTTTTGGACAGAGCTGCAGGTCAGTTCCTAACTTGCCACAGTAGATGCAGTTCATTTTGAACAGGTTTTCAGGTCTGCCTGGTGATGGGTTTTGTGGATGCTTGATGAGAGGCATGTGGAAATTCTTCCTGTCTCCCTTGCTCTAGAAGTGATGCTGAGACCCAGGCAGCAGTGTAAGAAGGCTGGAAAACAGGCAAGCATTTTCACTTGCATGGAAACCACTGGGCCTGGGAGAGAGAGAACCACCAGGATGGCCTTGGAGAAAGCTGGACCCTGGGGAGTGGCATGTGAGCAGGCGATCTCAGGGCAGCAGTTCTCTGGGGATACAGGAGGTGGTAAGGAGAAGACGCTTGCTGCAGAAAGCAGCGGGTGATGTGTGTGAGCCAGGAACCTGAGGTGGGTGCTTGTGCTCACTCTGCTGTCACTTCAAATTTGGGAAAATGTGCTGAGCACTAACTCTTCGCTAGCGACCCAAGGCATCCATTTTCACCATTCCCTAGGATTTCTGTCCTCTGTTTCAGGAAACGTGTGAAAGCAGTTCTGTTGTAGCTGTGAGGAGCATCTGTTTTCAAATGTAACCATGTCTTAAACCCATATTGCAAAGCAAATCTACTTAGATGGGTATACATTTAGGACTCTGTCCTCAGTGCTGTTCATTAACTCAGGTGCCACTTCATAGGCAAGGGGACGTTCCTTGGGAAGCATAGGCTGTTGCATCTGTGTATATTTGGTTTTATTTTTTGTTTTTATATGGATGAGTACATGAGTATTTATAAAGGAATAATAGTAATTTGTTTAATATCTCTTGTTAAGGAAAAACTTGCATGCTGAATGTTTTCACTGAAAGCTCTAATAGTGAATTCCAGGTGTAATAAGAAACCTGCTTGTGTTAATGTTTTTGTTAGTGTTCATTTAATGTTTACATCTGGACATAAAAAGTAAACTAGTAGAGGCTAATTTCAGATACATTTAACCTTGTATATTATGGGCTTTGTTATATTTAGGTTTTATAATGAAAGTATGAGGCAATACATGAGGATACTTTTATTTTGTCTAATAAAGCCTAATCTTATAAATAACCTTTTTATTCGTTCTATGAACATTAACAAATCAGTTTCTTTTTGCAAGATTTGATGATAAGAAAAATCTAATGTATGTTCCTGCAACTATAAATTGTGTGGTTCCACCCCCCCCGCCCTCCCTTTGAGTTAGGTTTTGTTTAAATAGTATGTGTGAAATGGAAGTGGAGAAATGGGGCTTACCTCAAGCAGCAAAAAGTCCACTGAATCTTTTCTGGAAAAGATTATCTGTGTAAGAGCTAAGTGATCTTGTAAATAATGATGCTTGCAGACAAGTAATAGGTGCAAAATATTTTAAATATGAATTGCTGGCACAGGTTTTTAAGACTTCTTTCTGGAATGAACTATAAATAAAACCTTGGTATATGGTAGAGGAAAGTCGATCAATGCAATGATTAATATTTCATATAGTCTTTTTATAAAGTTTCCAGGAGTATTTATTAGGCTGAAATGCATTCTTTGTGTAGCTAGATACACAAAGATAGGTATTTTTTATGTGCGAGCGCAGCTACAATGCGCTGAGTTCTGTCCGGGGACAGATGATGAGCGAGTTGAGAGTCTGTGGCTGAGAATTAAGGGGCAGGCTGGCAGGGGCGATACTGTTGTGGGTGTCTCTTACAGGCCACCGGATCAGGGTGAGGAAGTTGACGAGGCCTTCTACAGGCAGCTGGGAGCGGCCTCACAGTCACAGGCCGTGGTCGTTGTGGGGGATTTTAACTTCCCTGATGTTTGCTGGAAGGACTACTCGGCAACCCAGCCGCAGTCCAGGAGGTTCCTCCAGTGTATGGATGATAACTTCCTCATGCAAATGGTGGATGAGCCAACCAGGAGAGGAGCGCTGCTGGATCTCATCCTCACTAACAAGGAGGGTCTGGTCGAAGCAGTGAAGGTTGAGGGCTGCCTTGGTTGCAGCGACCACGAGATGGTGGAATTCAGGATCTTGTGTGGTAGGACCAGTAGAATAGCAAGTAGAATTGCAACCCTGGACTTTAGCAGGGCAAACTTTGGCCTTTTCAAGCGATTGCTAGGGGAAATCCCGTGGGCTAGGCTGCTTGAAGGTAAAGGGGCCCAAGATAGTTGGTTGGCATTCAAGGACTGCTTTTTCCGAGCTCAAGATCAGAGCATCCCGACACGTAGGAAGTCAAGGAAGAGGGCCAGGAGACCTGCGTGGCTAAATAGGGAATTGCTGGGTATGCTAAAGTGGAAGAGGAGAGTTTACAGGTCATGGAAGGAAGGGCTGGCCACTTGGGAGGAATATAAGGCTGCTGCTAGAGGATGTAGGAAGGCAGCTAGGATGACCAAGGCCTCCTTGGAATTAAAGCTGGCGAGAGGGGTCAAGGACAGCAGAAAGAGCTTTTTCAAATACATGGCAGGTAAAACTAACACCAGAGGCAATGTAGGCCCGCTGATGAACGGGACGGGTGCCCTGGTGACAGAAGATACAGAGATGGCAGAGTTACTGAATGACTTCTTTGTCTCTGTCTACTCTGCCGGAGGCAGTCCTGAAGAGCCCTGTATCCCTGAGACCTCAGATGAAGTCAGGTCAATGGAGCGGTCTGCCTTAGTTGATGAGGAATGGGTTAAAGATCAGTTGAGCAATCTGGATATCCATAAATCCATGGGTCCAGATGGGATGCACCCGCGGGTGCTGAAGGGACTGGCGGAGGTCATTGGTAGACCGCTCTCCATCATCTTTACCAAGTCTTGGGAAACGGGAGAGGTGCCTGAGGACTGGAGGAAAGCAAATGTCACTCCTGTCTTCAAAAAGGGCAAGAAGGAGGACCCGGGTAACTATAGACCGGTTAGCCTCACCTCCATTCCTGGGAAAGTGATGGAACACCTTATCCTTGGTGCCATCTTAAGGCATATCAAGGATAAGAGGGTTATGAGGGGCAGTCAACATGGCTTCACCAAGGGGAAGTCATGCTTGACCAATCTCGTAGCCTTTTATGAGGAAATAACACGGTGGATGGATGATGGCAGAGCGGTGGATGTGGTCTACCTTGACTTCAGCAAAGCGTTTGACACAGTCTCCCACAGCATCCTTGCAGCTAAATTGAGGAAGTGTGGTCTGGATGATCGGGTAGTGAGGTGGACTGTGAACTGGCTGAAGGAGAGAAGCCAGAGAGTTGTAGTCTATGGGGCGGAGTCTAGTTGGAGGCCTGTATCTAGTGGAGTGCCTCAAGGGTGGGTACTGGGACCAGTATTATTTAATATATTCATCAACAATTTAGATGAGGGAATTGAGTGTACTATCAGCAAGTTTGCTGATGACACTAAGCTGGGAGGGGTGGCCGACATGCCAGAAGGCTGTGCTGCCATCCAGAGAGACCTGGACAGGCTGGAGGGTTGGGCGGGGAATAACTTGATGAAATATAACAAGGGAAAGTGTAGAGTCCTGCATCTGGGCAGGAACAACCCCAGGTTCCAGTATAGGCTGGGGAACGACCTGTTAGAGAGCAGTGTAGGGGAGAGGGACCTGGGGGTCCTAGTGGATGACAGGATGACCATGAGCTGACACTGTGCCCTTGTGGCCAAGAAGGCCAATGGCATCCTGGGGTGTATTAGAAGGGGGGTGGTTAGTAGGTCGAGAGAGGTCCTCCTTCCCCTCTACTCTGCCCTGGTGAGACCTCATCTGGAATATTGTGTCCAGTTCTGGGCCCCTCAGTTTAAGAAGGACAGGGACCTGCTGGAGAGAGTCCAGCGCAGGGCAACTAAGATGATTAAGGGAGTGGAGCATCTCCCTTATGAGGAAAGACTGAGGGAGCTGGGTCTCTATAGTTTGGAGGAGATTGAGGGGTGACCTTATTAGTGTATATAAATATATAAAGGGGGAGTGTCACGAGGATGGAGCCAGGCTCTTCTCAGTGGCAAACAATGAAAGGACAAGGGGTAATGGGTACAAACTGGAACACAAGAGGTTCCACTTAAACCTGAGAAGAAACTTCTTCTCAGTGAGGGTGATGGAACACTGGAACAGGCTGCCCAGGGAGGTTGTGGAATCTCCTTCTTTGGAGACATTCAAAACCCGCCTGGACATGTTCCTGTGTAACCTTATCTAGGTGTTCCTGCTCCGGCAGGGGGATTGGACTAGATGATCTTTTGAGGTCCCTTCCAATCTCTAGCATACTGTGATACTGTATGTGTATTCCACCCCAGATGGCAGAACCAGAGTTGCACTGAAAGACAGTGGGGAGTTAGTCAAGGAGACAAGAAGCATGAGCTGCTGGATTTAACTAGTGCTCTTCCAACTACCTTGATTATCCTGGACTTGAATATGAGCCATGACTGTTGTGTGTTACAGTTGGTCATATTTTAACTTAGATGTAGTGGGCCTAGACTCTCTGAAATGATAGAGCTAAGTATTAGATAAATAAAATGTTTTATTTATTTACTGTAAAAGGCAAGCAAAAGAATGGAGGATGTGTTTTATAATTGCAACATTTAATGGGGATTTTCCATCTTTCAGATTTCACGCAGTTGCCTGTGACAACTCCTGTTGAGGAAACTGAGACAGGAACATCTTGTATCAACTGTTGCACCTGTACCTGCCACAATGAGAAGTTGCATAAGGTTTCTTTTTCTTGTTAATTCATGCTTTTGTTGTAGTGATTATTATAAGAAGGTCAATTAGTAAACACATTCCTTTAAGGATTTTTTTTTTTCCTCATTTAACAAAAGTTTTCTTCTAAAACTAAAGGTTATAACACTATTAGCATAAGTAGTGTATCAGGCCAAATCCCTGATTATGTATTAAGCGGGATGGGTCCTGAAAACTGCTGGTTTACTTCTCCAGACTTTATGAATGAGCATGCTAGTTGCTGCTTCTCTTTGATGTTGAAAAAAGTGAATAATTTTGCCTTGTGGTCTCACTCTGTCACTTTTGACTGCTTTATAAAACAGAATTACATGTAAACTAAACAGCTGTTGTATGTGTGCAAACATTTGCTTGCACAGTTTTTCTGTAAGTTGTATGCTTGCATAAATTAGCAGCTCTTGCCTCCAGGATTTAACCTGCCAGCCTTTCATGCATTGCTAGTTGGGATTTGAGCACCAATTCTGCAAACCCCAGAGGGATTATGTGAAACCAGAATGGATGCATGTTCTGTAGGAACCTCAGTATTTGTAGTGACTCTATTGCAGTGTCATCGTCTAATAGTTACAAGAATGGGTTGAGATCTGTTGTCCTCTGCTTGCTGTTCCCTGCCCCAGAATGAGGGGCTTACTTTCTTTTTTTGGTCGAAAGCAGACATGGACTTCCAAAATTAATGAGTTGACCACAGATTCTATTTCGGTGAAATTTTAATTCCCACAATAGTATTTCACCAAGTCTGTCAGAGTTCTGTGGGGTTTTTTTGTGGTTTTTTTGTTTGCTTGATACTTTTTAAAAGGCAGAATTTTAAACAGCAAATAGTGTACTCCTTTCAAGCTTGCTACAACCTTGAAAATTTCCCTGAAACTTTCATTTTTCTGATTAGTTCTGCAAATGTATTAATATTTATTTTCATTTTGAGCTTTTAAAATACCATACACTAAAGATTCAAAATAACATTTGTAGAGAAAAATGTGTGTGCAAACATTTTATCTTAATAAAAACAAATTTGTTTTACAATGTCCTTAAAACTGGGATTTTCTTGAAGCTTAATTGACCCTTTACTTAAACAAACAGCCCTAAAAAACAACCATCAAAACTGACTGTCATACTCAGCTGCGTTGGTTTTGCTTGCAGAAAAGGGTAATTGTCTTATTGCCAGCATTCCAGTGTCAAGTTAGGGTGAAGTTTTGCTTCTATATTGCCACCAAGGAACTTCCTTTGTGCTGTGGTTCCACTCTCCTTTGAGCCGTCAACGTGCAAAGACACTGGAGTGCATCCTTCTAACGAAAATACTAGGATACACTTTTCTTGTTCAAAAAGGATTGTACTTTTCCCGATTACAGTAGTAATTGCAATGTTAATTACAGTTAGCTACCAGCATAGGTGGTCTGTAAATATCGCAGTTTGCAGTCAATTGCCAAATTGTTAGACACTGGCACAGGCATACTCTTGCCAAAATTTGGTCCCTCCTAGTTACAAGATTTTAAAGCAAGAAAAATGGAGGCTTAATTGGCCTTTAAGGCAAGAAATTGCATTTGCAAATGATACCTTATCATAAAAAAAAAAACAACAGTTTAAGTGGAAAAATATTTTTGTGTTAATTTTTAAAAGGAACTGTGTGAAATAGATGACTTTCAGTAGCCTCGCTTTACTGAAGCAGAAAGTGAAATAATCAGCAGTTTATTCAGAGTAACAGATATACATCAGAGTAGAGTTCTAGAGCTAGATGCTTACTTTTCTAAGCCAGAGTGACATTCCAAAAGATTTCCCCTTACTCTGTTGTGTTGGAGTGTTCCGTAGACCCTTTCTAGTGATGCCACCTTTATGAAATGGTGAGCATAGCATAATTATGATCTGCAATTAAGAGCAAGCAGTTCCATACTGGTATTCTGTGGGAGGCTTCAGGTAAGCCAAAATAGAGAGCTTGATGTGAGACCTTGGTGTGGTTGTTTTAGAAATGGTGGGGAAAGCTTGCTCTTTCCTTCTGAGGTAGGAACAACTTCTGTTGGGATAGCTGCAAAATCAAATGAGAAGCTGCTATTCTAGAAGGGCTCAGTGCCTCTCAAAAGTTATGAAACCCAGAGGGAGTACTTTTGAACAGGCTCCACTGTTTGTCAGACAGGGAATTTCTTTGGAGGAAGTTTTCCAGAATGTATTAAATCAGTTCCTTAATTTTTGCTTGTAACAATGTTTGGTTAAATTATGTTTTTACTTTGTAGGCACAGAGAAATTTTTCAGCTTTATAAGGAAAAAGAAAGTGCCCCCACCCCTGAATCTGGCCAGACAAAATTATAATACAACTTTCTGAAAAATGGGTAAAATTTTGTTGCTTGAACTCTGGATTCAGCTTTAAAATAACATGTTCTATGGTGCTATCAACAACAGCGTAATTTTTCTGACTGCAGTAACTTACTGCCTGGCACGTGGTTATTTCCATTAAGCATCTTTCAGTGACAGCCTAAGAACATAAGTCTCTTCAAACAATTACTGAATTTGCCCTTTAGCCTATTTAAGTGTTTTTTTTTGTTGTTGGTTTTTTTGGTTTTAAATTTGCCATAGCTTTTTGTCTTTGTGAAAATTAAAATATAAACACTTCCCTTCTTTATTAAAGTTTTAAATCCATTTTACCCTTCTGCTGTTTGATCCACTAAGCCTTCACTGTGAAGAGCTCTTAATGCTTTATTTGAATATGTGTCCCTGGGTGCTTTACAGAATAGACTTTGATGTCACTTGGTTCCTTCAAACTGCATCTAACAATGTAAGGTTATTGATGAGGTTACAGCAGTTTGTTAGAGAAGAAGTTGGTGGGAAAATTAATTTGGAGTTTAAAAAAATTGTATACTTTAGGGAGAGATGGAATTAATTCCATTCTACAAATGAAGGATATTGGATTGATCAGTTCCCAAAAGGAAATACAAATCTAAGATACATAAAGCAAGGTTTCTTTTCATTGCTACTGAAGGATCTTAAATAATTTAAACATTACTTTTTTAACTAAAATTTCTTATCAGTAGGGTTTTTGAAGAGGCAATGGATGTAAGGCATCAGTAAAGAAGAATATGGTATTGCCATTGTATCTTATGAATAAAAATTTACTTAATTTAGAAAGAATTATCAAAGTTAGCGCATCTCTCACGTCATTATTAGTTGCTCGATTTATGATATTGCTTTTCATACAGTTGCATCATAGTGATATGATAATGATAGGACAAAGGGTAATGGCTTTAAACTGAAGAGGGTGGATTTTAGATATTAGGAAGAAAGTCTTTGAGGGTGGTTGGTGAGACAGTGGAACAGGTTTCCCAGAGAAGTTGTGGATGCTCCATCCCTGAAAGTGTTTAAGGCCAGGTTGGACAGGGCTTTGGGCATCTTGGTCTAGTGGAAGCTGTCCATGCCCATAGTAGGGGGATTGGACCAGGTGATCTTTAAGTTCCTTTCCAACCCATTCTGTGAGTCTGCAGTTCTATGACAGGAGGAACAACTCATCCATTCCCATTTAGAAGGCTGCAATACCTACTCATACTGTCATTTCTTTGGACACTACACAATATAAATACAGAACCACAAACATAGAAATGACATGTGATTAGCATGCATTTATCTGAAAATGTTGTGTGATTTTACAATTTAAAAGATTCTTTCCAACCACATCAGAATATCTATGTGCATATCTTCACTAGCAGTCTTTATGACATTTGACTGTAAATCATCAACCTTCATACGGCTGTAAGAACACAAGTAATGCTACCACTCCATACATGAGAACCCAAACCAGTAAGTGTGTTGAAATACATTTCCAAAGATCATACAGACTGGGGCACCTACATGAGAGAAGGAAACACTAACCTTCCTCCATAAGAGCCTGTATGTGACAGAACTTTGCTGGTTCTTTTATCCCTAGGGACTTCACATCTGTCCTACGCTTCTAGCCCAAGTACCAGTATGCCGTGGACGTGCTTATTATGTAAATACGTGACAAAAAGTTAACTAATATTTAGTAAACACTGGAAAATAGCTTGGAAATATTCCCCAAATCCTAGCAACAGCACTATGAAGAAACAGTAACTTTTTCCAAGATCCCTATGATGCCAGGACATTCAATTAAACTTTTTTTTTTTTATAAGCATTATTTATCCTATCAAATACTGCAGTGATGGAACTTTCTAATGTATTCTGCTATGGAGCCAAGTCATTATGCCATCTATCTAAAAGACTTTTTAAAAAATCAACAAAATAATCAAATTTTTGATGGAAAACAAGGATACTTGTCATAATGGCTGACTATGAATTTCTGCAGTGGTTAAGTGAGCCAGCAGTTATAAATACTAGCGTTCTGTGCATAAAAGCAGAATGAACTGTAAATGCAATTTACACTTCACTCAGATAACTTCTCAAATGTGTTATTGTAGACTCATAGAAAAGTTTGGGTTGGAGGAGACCTTAAAGATCTCCTGTCAGTGCCTTGTGTTAAGACTGCCAGCCTAATTTCTGCATGAAAAGGCCTCTTCAGATACTGGTTGTAAGAATACAGTTGAAAATCAGCTACCCCTGACAGCTGATGTTCTCTCTTCTCTTTTCAGATCTTTTCAGATCCCAGTCTAATTGGTCCATGTTTCTGAATTCTTCCTTGTAACCTTCGCAAGCAGACAAAATGAAGTTGAAGCATAACATCAACCCTATTCTTCTACAGTTTATAAACTTTGTAATTTTGGTGTACACCATTGTAACGTACATTCCGTGGTACATATTTTCAGGGTCAAGGCAGGCTATAGCAAAAGCCAAGCAGGTTAAAGCTAAACCTGTGAATAGCAAGCCTGGGGCTGCATACAGATCTGTTAACAGTCTACATTGCTTAGCTTCAGTTTTATATCCTGGGTGTGATACACTTGACAAGGTTTTTAAATATGCTAAAACTAAATTTAAGGACAGAAAGCTCTTGGGAACACGTGAGATCCTAAAAGAGGAAGATGAAATCCAACCATCAGGAAAAGTTTTTAAAAAGGTAAGTGTTTTTGCAGACTGCCTTCAAGAATTATTTTCGAAGTGTGTTTACTTTCTCTTGCAATGCTTCTAGTCCAGTAAAGTGCATCTGGGCTAAAAACCAAGTTTCTCTATTTAAGAGTATGTAGTGATAAAAAGAGTTAAATTACCTAATTCCCCACCTTTCATTACTTGACATTTAAAGCAGATCTAAACCTTTTTGCACACTTGAGTAGATACCATTTTTTTGTGTGATTTCAGACAAAGAAAAAATGCAAATGTGTTTTAGGTATTTGTTTTTACTATTCAGCTGATGACACAACTGGCTTTAAAGTTTTTCTTCTCAGTGAATGAAAAAACAAGTCTCCCTTTGTGTTATTCTGAGCTATGATGAGATAAATGAAGTTACTAGATACCCATACTCAGATGTGCCTTTCCAGTAAATTTAATTGTAATTTAATGATTTACTGTTCTGCCCTGTGAATTCAGGGCTTAAATGAAATTTTTATTTGGAAAAGGGTTGCACAGACTTTAATCAAGGAGTTGATTTTCTTTTTCTCTTACAATCTCCTTTAAGGTGAATTAGTACTCTGCTACCATGGTATGTGTGGGAGATTTATTTCAGTGTAAAATTCCATTGTTTCAAGGGACTGATTTTATTTTATTTTATTTTTTTCAATCTTAAATTCAGTCCTGTATTGCCAGTTTCAGTTTTGTGACTTTAAAATGTTTTAAATTTGGTCAGAGGCATTTGAAAATGCCTGAAGAAGCAAGTCAAGATACCATTAAGAGGATACATGTAAATGTGCAGATATGTGCTAAAGGTCTACATTTCTCTATTGGAAGTTAAGTATGTGCTGTAAACCCAATTTTTAGTTAAGATTAGTTTTCCTGCAGCAGAAAAACTTATCTCTTCATATAATAAGGGATTCATTCAATACTGCTAGTTTTAATTCTAATATGGGGACAGAATTTGGTAATAACACAGTATATGGTGAGGCTATTTCTGTTGAAGTATTTATAGAAGATTTAATTGTTAGTGAAAATTCATCCCAATTATGGAGTTAAATTTTCAGTATGAAGGAAATGCTGTGAGAAATAGGTACACGTAGTCTTGATAGATGTTTTGCTGTTCCATTGCCCCATACAGAAACAAAATTCATGTTGTATAAAGTGTGCTTCTCAGCACAGATCAGCATTTTGGCTGCTTGTGATCTGCGCTGTGTTTTTTAAACATAATTAGTAATGTAAGTCTTAAGAACTTAGGAGTTTTAGCCTTTGCCATTATGCAAGCAGAGTGTTCTGAGTATTGGAAAGCTGAAGAATGTTGCTGTGACCTACTTAAATTACTTTGTTTCTAAGTATTTAGATTTAGAAATTACCTAAGTTAGATAATTTTGTCTAAGCTTGTCACAACAGTTTGTTATGGTTGATTGCTGTACTTGCCCTCATATTTTGTTCCAAGTTGTGGCATTATCACGTAAGTCTACTTTTAATTAATTATTTTTTCCTGTTAAGGAATACAGTTTTTCTTAATAACTCATATTCTAGCGAGTCAGGAAAATTGGAAAGTTTCGTGAGATAACTTATTGATTCTAAATGTCAAGGTTCTTTCCCTGTGATTTTTGCCTTTCGTGCCGTGCGTCTTTATATTGCCTGTTTTCTTTTACTAACACCAACTTATTGGGGTATAATTGGTACAACTTTTCAAAAGGGTGCGTAACAATTTTAGTTCTTAGATCTAATACATAGAATTTCAATACCTTACAGGAGCTGCAAAATTTGTTCAATATTTTTTCCCCTTTCGAAAATTGAACACAGTGGTGGGAATGATCGATGCATTTTTCTGAGGTCATCTGAGTCAGGGGCAGATCTGAATGTAGAGCTATATACTGAGTTACATTACCTATTAGAAGATGTGTCTCTGTGCAAATTGCTATGGGCTAAATTAGCCTAATTAATAATTCATTAATAGAGTAAATATATATCTCAAGTAAAATATTAAGCTTCTATTCTTAGGGAAGCTAAATGTGCTCATGCTTCTAGCTAAAATTATTTAAAGTGAGACACTGAATATCTTTTAGAACAGATACTACATGATTTATTCTGAGAACAGTGATATCCCATTATTCTGTAATTTCTTGAAATTTTATGATACTGTAGTGTTCAAAAGATTTATTGCTTTGTAATTGCCAAAGTAGCAGAACTTCATGAATGTTAAAATACACATACTTGCTTCTGCTCACTTTGTATTTTATAAGTAGTTAGCTTTTCCTGTTTCCTTTTGTAGTCTACGTAATATATTAGATTGGAGGGCATACATAACACTAGTATTGTAAAATATGCACTTAAGTCAGGATAAAATAATGTTGAAAATACTTCAGAGATTAAGGTATAATTAATTGAAAAAATAATTTAAGCAGAGCTTAAACTTTATGATGTCCAAAAGAGAAACTTTTTTCTGATGGTTAATTATTTTATGTCATCTTAAAAGCAAGAACATGACAATATAAACTGTAATTATGTATGTTGTATGTTGGTATGTGGATTTTTGTGTGTGGGGTTATTTGGGTGGTATAGCTCTTTTGGGGATTGATTGGTTGTTCTGTTTTAAAAACAGAACAAATTCTGTTCTTGTAGCCAAAAACAGAATTAATGTGAACATAATAATAAGGCATAGTAGGAAAAGCTAAGCATGGTTTTGGTAAGGGAAATAAATTTATCTAAAGCGTGTGAGACTTACATGAAACAGTAAGCACATGGGCAAGCACTTGTGCATTCAGGACATTACTCATTATAGCTGATACTGAAACTTATGTGAGGCTGCAGGAAGGTTCTTGCCATGACAAGTGATTGAGCAATAGAAGAGTAGCTTATGATGTTGAAAAACACATGATGCTGTGTAAATAATATTTTAGAAGTGTTCAGCTGCAATCCACGTTTTTATGTGAAAAAGGCAAAGAATTGAATATTTTCAAATAATCTCCATTGTATTATTTTTAATATACTTTCTACAAGGAAATGTATTCAATTCATGATCACTGATTTCCAAATTGTGTAGTCAAGGTTATTCAAGGCTTTTAAACTACTTCTGGGAGGACCTTGAAAGAGTAATTGGGGTCAGCTAGTGCAATGACTACACATGCCCTCAGCTTTATTTTATGACACCTTCATGCTAAAAATTTGAATGTGGTTGCCCTAAACTCAAGACTAAATAAACGTTTACTGTGTAGCAAGCGTTTAGTCTCTATACTTCGCTGGATTTCCAAATGCTAATACAGTGCTGGTATTCAGTAATATTTTCAAGGTGTTAAATAGGCAACTCCGGTATTTTAGTAACTTGCTGTCGAAGTATGTTTAAAAGCGGGTGCACTAGAGGGCAGTGTTTTCCTATTTAATGTAGCATTTTGAAGTAAGCATTTGGAGGTCTCCTGATTCAGTGTTTGGGTTTATGTGTCTGTTTAATCAGTTCTCAATAATCTTGAGTTCTTTAGCCATCCCAAGAACTCTTGGAGTTGCTTCTTTTACATGCGTAAGTAGTTACCTAGCAGAAATAAGTCTGAGAGTCACAAAATTAAGCGTGAATGTTTAAAAGATTATGGCACTTGACATCAGTCTTAACAGCTCTGTGTCCTACTAAAGAAGCATATAGAGAAATGCAGAAGAAAAGGTCATACAGACATATGCAGTATAGTAATATGTCATAGGAAGGGACTAGAGAGCAAATGTTGGGTATGGGGAGGGAGGGAACATAAAAATTTAAATGTATCAAAGGCAGTAGGAAAAACAAATATCAAAAGAGCTGCACTGAGAAAGGTCTTCTTGTGTATTTTCACATACCAGTGTTCTTCATAAATACATTTCTATATATAGAAAAATAACTAGAACAGTGCTATACTTCCTGTGGTTTTTCTAACCTTTGCAGAAAGAAAAGCACCAGTAAGGCCTTTTTTTCATTACTTTATATCAAACGTGCTTAAGTAATCAGGATAAAAAATTTAATAGAATAAAAAAGGGGGAAAACAAAAGCAGAATCACAAGTATTATTCAGAAATATCAGTTTTTGACCCTTCAGTGTTTTATTATTCCAACCTTGGTGAGTTACATTGTGAATGGTAAAAATGCCAAAACCTTCTTATTTACCGATTGGTAAGATTAACAGAAACGGTAACGGGAATCTATCTGTATTTCTTGGCTGAATTATTTGGGAGCAGTGTTCCTGAGGCCATACTGTAGATACAGTATAATGATGGAAAGGGTGTCACCCGTTCACTGCTGTAAATTGTTGTCAACTGATGAGCTTGTCGGGAATTTCCAGATCTGTCAAAAATACTTTACTTGGGCCCAAACTGGAATTCTAATTTGGAATTAGTAAAATTTGGATGGACAGGAAGAGGTACAGTGTTTTCTTTGGAAGCAGTAGAAGTTTTCCACACCAGAAATATCTTAGTATAATGAAACTGAAAGGAACTCCCAGGTCCTTCTCTTTGTGGGGGCTGTAGCTGTGAGCCCCAGTCGTGGTGTGAGCCCTCTGCCCTGTGGTGCTGCAGATGTGATCAGCCAGCAATTCTGCTGTGATTCTATCACTGGTTACAGCACAGAAGTTTAGTGTGATCTTTCTTCTCCAGTAAAGTTTTTTGCTCTGGAACAGCCTATTTGCCAATGAATATGAGCTGCTGTGAATGAAATGGGAAAACCTGAGCAGATATTTATGTGAGAAATGTTTTGTTTTCTGATTGAATCACTAAGTATTGCTATTGTTGGCAAGTATTATATTTCATTTTTGTAAAACTGTATTTTCCCATGAAAATGTTTATGAATTTTCCAAGCAGCTGCACATATACCTGTCCTCAGTTAAGAAAGGTTTGTCCTGCTTAAACATGTAGGTTAATGAGAAATATGGAACAAGGCCATCGTAGGTACATCTCAGTTGCCCAATGCAAACTTCAGCAGTTTGAAAATGCTTTAGTGAAAGGAATGTATTAGATGTTATTTTTCTACTGGAGGTAGAGAGATTTTCAAATCCATTGTATTAAGGAAGTGGATTTGGAAGTAGAAACTCATTAGAAATGCAGTTACATTGCCAAAAAGCTGTTAGATTTTACAGCCCACAAGTCTGAAATTTAGTTAAAGTTGATAAATGAAATGCTAACAACAGAATGGGAGAGGAGGAAGTTTGCTTTTGTAGCTTTTTTTTTTTCTTCCCTAGTGTTTGCTTGCATTTAGTATTAATGCTGTGTAGTCAAATGAAATGTCAGAAATACTTGACTTATAAAAAACTATGTTTTTCAAAATGTCAAGGTGCTTGTATAACTAGATGAGTAAGGTGGAATATTGTCTGGATTTTCAGTGTAAAAGGTCTTCATACTACATCTGTCTATGAAAACATCTATGATATCCTCAAATAAATACTGTCATTAAGTGAGAATGTAGTACTGCAAAGTGCAAGTGCACACATAAAAAAAATTGGTGCATAGCGACCTGTGAACTCAAATTCAATTTTGTAGTGCACCAGCTTTCCCATATAGAAGAAAACTGAGATTGCTTAATGTTTTCCGCATTATTTTTCAGTACTGAGATTTGCCAGTAGTTTCCAGTCTACTCTTCTGTCCCACTTTTGCTTTAACGGTAAAAACAGGGCAAGAAGATTATTCTTCTCCCCCCTGACATTCATTTTGGAACAAACAAAGGGAAAGGGATTTCACAATTTCTGACTGAAGACCCATTGATATACTGCTTCCTGTATTCCAGTTTCCCTTTCTTCTTGTTTTATGCATGATTTTGTTTGTTTTTAAATAAGAATGAACGCCTAAATGTCATACCTGTGTAGAATTGTAGTCCAAGTATCCAAGAAAGCAAATATAAAGAATGTATTCTACTATAGCTAGTGCTTGTTACTCTTTGCTTAAAACAAAATGACCTTTGTAAAAGCCAAAGGCATGTGGGTTTGATAACTGTGGCCTTTCAAAAGGTTCTGAAAGTACTAAATACAGTGAGAATCATGTGCTTTCCTAATGTGAAAATAGCAACTGGGGTGATAATTGAGATGTTGCAGTATTTGTGTTGGAACTTCCACAGTCCCTGTAGTTTTTGGCAAGAATATTATTCATTATCTTGAGTAAACTGCTGTTACAATTCAGGCAAGTACTGCTTCAAACATCTGTGGTTTCTTCGTGTGGATGGACTTGGACACGTGTTAAGGATTTTCATTTTCTAAACTGAATTTATTATTCTCATTAGGTCATCCTTGGCAAGTACACCTGGCTTTCATATGAAGATGTATACATTAAAGCTGTTAATTTTGGAAATGGCTTAGCAGTATTGGGTCAGCAACCAAAGACTAACATTGCTATCTTTTGTGAGACTAGAGCTGAGTGGATGATTGCAGCACAAGCCTGTTTCATGTGCAACTACCAGCGTAAGTATGCGTCTTTCCTAAAATTGTCTTGATCTTGCAATGCAATCTGAAAATAAACCTTCTATTTCATATACTAAGAAAACTTTATATAGATTTTATGTAGAACATTTAAATATACAAATAAAAAAATGCTGCATAGGGTAGAGATTGCACTTTGTAGTGTTTTGTTTTATTGAACAGAGAAACCTGTATCTATGTGCGGATGGAGTATGGTTTCAGTAAGTATAACTTGCTTAATGAATTTGTGAGAGGCTTATTTTCCTTTACTCTCAAATCAGTACAGATTCCTGAGTTTCTAAAAACAAACAAAAATCACACATGAATTAATTGACTCAGTTTCAGGAGTTGACCTCGAACCTTCATCTGTAAGTTTTAACTGTGTATTTTGTCAGTTCTTCAGTTTTGATTTTGATTTGGCCTGTTTTTCTTCCAGAGAAATCAATTTAATGCTGATCTCAACTTGAAACAGAAATTGTATTAAGGTGTCTGTTTCATCATCACTCCTTAATAGGTCATTCACCTAACTGTAAGCCCAGCCTGTGGCTGTGTTCTGTGGTGCTCCCAGAGGCACATTTTTCACTTTCCCAAGGGCACTCTAAAAGCTGCTGTTCTTTATTGGCTTTGGCCTCTTCTCTCCCATACTACACTTGCTCTCCTGCAGTAAGAGATGGGCTGTAAAAGGCAGATGTGGAGAAATTACTGATTTACTATCTGCCTACACTAAAGATGAGTATCAGTTAGACTACATTCAGATTTTGGAAGCAAGCCTAAGAATCTTAAATGATCCCTCTTTGCTATGAGTCTGTTTCAATTTGAGAATCCATGTGTTCATGAGTATATAGCAGTTTTCGTTTAAGTAAGACTACCTAATAGAAGCATATTGGTAAGATGAAGCCAGACTCTATTCAAGGTGTGGTTTGAGAAGACTGGAGGCAACACGCAGAAGCTGAAACACAGGAAAACTAGGTAGTAGGACAAACTTCTGAGTGGTTATGAAATCTCCATCCTTGGAGGTATGATCATAGAATATTTACGGTTGGAAAGGACCTTAAGACCATCTAGTTTCACCCCCCCCGTCCATACCTCACACTAGGCCATGGCCGTTAGCGTTCTGCTATAAAGAACTGTTTTATGGATGTTATCCTCGCAGGTGCCTTCCAGCCTAAATTCAGTGGTATTTTTTGGTTCCTTCTTCAATGAGTGATGGCTTCTGAGTTGTCTAGCAGGGCAGAGATCTGCACAGGCTCTTGGATGAGATGATGTGTTGCTTTTGAACTATGTGTCTCTTAATACAATGTGTCAGTTCCTCTGGGATCTGTTAGATGCCTAGTGACTGTCCTGGGAATAAAATGCAGAGGCTTGTATCAATTATTTTTTCTTTGGAAGTGCAGTATACTTAGAAATCCTAGGAAGATTTTGTAATCTGGGGGGGGAGGGGGAGGGGAAGTATCTGAGATAGTGGATGGATGTCATGTGCTGAATGGTATGCATATGGTTTTGGGTTTGTTGGATTAATGTTTTAAATTCCCTTATTGAGACGTGCTCCAGCACACTGTCTCATCTAAGCTCTATGTCATCTTGTGTGAACTTGGCTGACTTGAGTAATGGCAGATGATGATATTATCGTGCAGTATTCAGTCAGTTTGCTGAATGAAGTATAAAATTCAGATGATGTTGAAGAAGTAGCGTGGCAAAACATTGCTAAATGACTTACATGACTTATATTAACATTTTTCAGTTTACAAGTTTCGCAAGAGCTTGCTGCTGTGGTAGTGTTGTGACATGCTTTCAGAATGTGAAATGTATTAAATTCGATGGTATGTGCCCAGAACTGTTGTCAAGAGGGCAGGTTCATCTGCTTCATGTGTGGTGCTGGAGAGAATTAAATGGGGAAAATAATTTTTATTTTATGGATTACTTGCATAAAGAATTGGTTTTATGATTAGATTAGATTAGAAATACTTGCTTGATTGTAAATTTGATGCTGAAGCTGTCTAAGTCTTGTATTTCTGGCGGTAGAGTGGAGTACTAGCATGAAAACATGTTTTCTTCCATAGTATCTCTTCATCTGTGTGAAGAGCTCTTCATCACTATGGGCAGATAAAACACCCAAGTGTGTAACCAAGTAATGAGGTAAATAGGAAAGGTTATGTTTCATTTTTCAATCGTGCATTCCAGAGGCTTGAGCAGAAAGGGTTTTGTAAGAATTGATTTGCCTGAAGTCTTTAGAGGTATATTTTGCTTTTTATTTGTGATGTGCGATGAATGCTCTAATACTCAGTGTAACATTTTGGTTACAGTGAAATAAATGGCAAAAGTTCTGTTTGTTTCCTTAGGACAAGGCTTTGTTCTCGTATATTAGCTGACAAATTTAGTGGTGCTGAGATTTTCTTTGTTGATCGATTGTTGGAGCTGTATTCCGAGCAGTATTCCTAGCAGTAGTTCAGGTATCAAACACTCATGCTATTGCGTGTGTAAAGATGAACTCAAAGATAATCTGTTCTCAGTCAGTTTTCAAGAGAACAAGGGGAGAAAAGAACCTACCCAAACTGTCAGATTTGCCTGAAAAAGTTTTACTTGCGAGTGTGGAGAAGTGGGAATTTCACAGATCAGTCATTGCTCAGGTTTTTTTTTTCTCCATGGCATCAGTACACCGTCATATAAATGGCAGAGCTCTCTTCGGCTCTGTCATATAGCTCTAAGTTGCCCTTGATGTAGATGAGTAAGTAGCTACATAAGTGGCTATTTCAGAGATTATGCTTTTCGTTCTGGGCAGCGTGTTGTCTTGGTTGTGCTTGTTGGCTTGGGGAAGCTGAATTTCTGCTAGATGTTTATATAACAGGGGTCACTGCAGTAAGTAGAGAGAGCTCGTGGGAACTAGTGGAGGCACTCTTCTGGACTTTGCTCCCACCAAATTAAAGAAAACACAGTGCATGTGCATTTGCCCTGCAACAGTTCTGAACTATGATGGACTGTTTTAACAAGGAAAAAATAAGTGGAGGTCAACTGTTTACTCATCTGTGTAAGAAAACTGCTTTTGAGTTCTTCCTTAGTATGTGGCACTGGGTTTGTAACTCCCTGGATTTCACATCTTAGAATAAAGCAGAGTTTGATTTGATTTTACTGTTAATTTTTGCTGCAGTGAACATAATATAGTTCTAGCCCTAATATACAGGAGGTGTCTTGTTTTAATCATTGTTTAAATATTCATTTAGGTCTAGGCTTGCAACTTTTTTGAGATGTCCCTGTTTAACAGTCTGCTTGGAAAATAGGGAATTTTAATTGTTTTTAAGAGCAATACCTCTCTTTCTCTTTGAGCTGCCTTTTTCTTCCCAGTCTCTTCTGGTCTTTCTCATGCATTTCCCATAAAAATGGCAAGGTATTAAATATGATTTTTAAATTGTTAATATGAAGTAATTGTTGTTTAGCACTACATCTAATGAGCTGTCCTTAAATACAGGAAATGGTGTTTCTAATAGTCAGTTTCCTAAACATTTTGTTTCCTTGGTATTCTGTTTTCTCAGTTCAATGTCTAATGATTGTGATGATTAAACCTTTATTATGTTGTTACAAATAGATGGGAGCAGGCTTATTATTGAGTATGAGAATTAGCTTGCTGATGACAAGTATTGCAGTGTTCTAAATGTTTTATTAGCAGTCAGTTGTAAAAGGTTAGTAACAAAGCATGTGAATTCTGAAAAGAGAAGTCATAAATGAAATCTATATGTAAGAGGACTCTTAAACTGAGAACAGATGCCTGCTTTTAAAATGGTAAAAGCCATGAAGGTACAAGAATAGATCTAGAAGAGAATTACATAGGGTAATGCGGTTTTGGTACCTCTAGTTAGACCTTGAAAAATAGCAAAAGCTTGCATAGACAGTGGTTGTTCTTTATTCCTTCTGAGAGTAACTGAAAATTATACTGTATTTAAATTCATTCTTTAAGGTGTTTGTTTTTTTGTTGGTTTTTTTTTTAACAAATGTTTACTGTATTGCCTAATTTAAAATAGGTTAATCTCAGCCCTTTATGGTAAACTATACTTGAAAGTGTAACATAGAAATTCAGCATTTTTATTCCCATTTTCTGTTCCAGTTGTTACTCTGTATGCTACTCTGGGAGGCCCAGCAATAGTACATGGGCTGAATGAAACAGAGGTGACCACCATCATTACTAGTAAAGAACTGATGCAAACAAAGCTGAAGGTCAGAAAACTGTTATCTCTTGTCTTTCCAGTGTATCTGTTCATTATTGTTAAAAGGCCTGGTTCCATTTTACAAAACAATGATTTATTGCCTTTCTGTAGGGGAGATACTTATTTTAGAGTAGTATTTGTGTATCTGTCTTCATGTACAGAAAAATGATAGCCTTCATTTTAGGGGTTTAGGCTCCTCAATAACTCTTGAGCAGCTGCAGTGTTGCCTGGAATAACACCTTTACAAGAAACTGCTATGGTTCCTGCATGGATTTAGTCCCTGTAAATTTAACAGTTGAAGCAAATGGGAAGAACAGAAAAACGTGTAAACTGTATATGAATAGCTAAATGTGATCATCTGCCTGATTTATTGTAGGATGTTTTCCGAGCAGAGAATGGCTCTTAAATCTAAAGATGTGTACTTGAAGAGTTAGAGCTGTTTTCCAGTGTGGGGAAGAGCTTATTAAACATTTTGACAGTTGAAAAACTTTTGACTTACCCAGATTGAATACACAAGTGGATCAATTTATCTGCATGGATTTCATCATCATGTGTTTTGGGGGAACTAGACCTTTCACATAAGGGAGTTGTTCTAATGAAAAACCATGCTCTGTTGCTGAACTTCAAATAAGACTTTCCAAAACCTTTTTTAAATTACTAGAATGAGAATTTATATACAATGCACTTTTATTTCAGCTCACATTAAGAGAATAACTTTCTTCAGCTTGAGAATAATCTCCTCTTCCACTAGGACATTGATACAAGTTTTAGAACTCTTACGTTGCTTGAAATGCTTAACTAGTGCCTAACTAATGATTTTCTGTATTTTTGCTGGCTTTTGCTAATTTTAAATAGCATAGTAATCAAGGAGCAACATAAGAATTATTGTGAGCTCAGTGTCGCCAGTTTCTCTGTGTTCTATGAGAGTGGAAAGTCAATTATCTCTACAAATCATTGCAGTCTTATTTGTGGGCTTTTTGTGAACTAAGACTGAGATCAGTAAATGGTTGGAAAAGTTTTTGGAGTTGTAAGTGGAAAGTTCAATCAGTTCTGCAAATCTAAATGTGGAAAGTTTTAACCTTTTACAGCCATTTGAGCTAGACAAGGCTTAGACAAGTTCACCCTCTGATAGTCCAAATCCTCAGCTAATTTATATCAATGTTGTTTTTTTAACATACGCACTAGTGTGGTGGGGGTTTTTGTGGTTTGTTTTGGGTATTTTCCCTCTTGTTGGCATAATTCTCATGTATGATTTCTGAGCATGTTTATTTCCACAGGAAATTGTTTCTCAAGTTCCACTGCTGCGACATATTATTACAGTGGATGGCAAACCAACGACATGGTCAGAGTTTCCCAAGGGTGTCATTGTTCATACTATGGCTTCTGTGCAAGCTATGGGGGCCAAGGCAGATACTGGTAGGTTATCTTTTCTTTCTATTTGGAACATCTCATTTGTTGTCCTACTTTGACCCTGTTGAGTAAATGTGGGTAAACTGCAGATCTCAAAAAAACAGTGCAATGATTAACTTTTTATCATCTGCTTTTCCTTTAAATGAAATCTGTGGGGTTTTTTGGTTGGGTTGAGGTTGGATTTTGGGGTGTATGGGTGGAGTTTGTTTTGTTGGGGTTTTTTTGAGAGAGATTAACGTGGTTTCAAAAAGGAACTGTTTTTTTTCCACAATGGAGAATAATTTCTAGGACAAGCATTTAGGACAGGATAGCAACTTGAGAAGCATTCTTATGATCAGACATGCTAAAACCAAGTTGTTCAGAGCACATGGAGAATACGATTATGCATTTTAAAGCAAAATACATAGTAATTTTCTACCATAAATTTTTGTTAAATTCACAAATAAGAAAATGTAAAATAGCCATTTAAATGTGATAGAACTTGGTCACTTTTACTGCATTTCTGGAAGTATCAATCTACTATGTACACTTCTGAAAATCTATTTCCAATCTATGTAACACTTAAAAATCAGAATTTCAGGAGGTTTTGGTTTGTTTGTTTGTTCTTGTTTTAACTGTTATAACAAACTGTTATTCTTGGCTCTAAAACCTGATAAACCTAGTATTGTAAGATTTCATGATATTCAGTAGTTGCTTTCTCCTGTTGTTACTCTTCATGTTTTCAGAATCTTTCAACCACATGGATGTTGGATTGAATTTTGTTTTGGGAATAGTGTGGGTGGGTAATCCTTCTGCTTTTGATATTTGGGGGAATGGAATTTTTTGCTTCCAACATCATGACATCTTAATTTCTTTAAAAGATGGTTTTTCCTTTTTTACCTGTTTTGTATACTCTCAAAACTGTCTCAGAAAACACCAGTGTAAAAAATTATAGCTATAGTTCATTAGTTCCTTGAGATGGTCTAATCCCTCATTCTTTGGTCTTCTAAATATCGCATACTATGCACTGGAAAAATGTTATCCTGGTCAAGTTTACCATTCATAAGTTGTGGAAGGCTACAGTGATATCCTTTACGGTCAAGCATGTTCAATTAATATTATATTAAATATATGAGCTGCTGCTTATGTCTTTATTTTCCTCTGTGGTGTTAATCTTGCAGGATGGACAGGGGTCAGGGAGTGGAAAATTAAATGTTTTCATTCTTGTCATTCAGTACATGTGGTGTGTTATACATATTGCTCATTGCAGTTCAGGAAAACAATATTCACCTGGTATGATATTATAGAAGATAATGTGCGTACTTGTTGCTTTCCACGTAAACTCTCCGCTCTTTTAGACTTCCTAATCTGCTAGTGAGTCAGGATGGTAGGGAGGTTAACTTTACTCCTCAACTGTGTTCTAGCATTATCTGCAGCATCTTACTGGTCTTCCTACAAAATTCTGAGACAGAAAACAAAGTAATTTGCTTACTGCAAAGAACCGTCAAACAGATCTTGCTTTGAAAATGCTGTCATTGTTATTCCATCTTTATTCTTACTCTTTTCTTAATTCATCCTATCAAAATAACAGGTTGGATGGGGCTTTGAGCAACCTGGTCTAGTGGAAGGGGAATGGCAAGGGGGACTGGAACTAGGTGATCTTAGTGTCCCTTACAAGCCAAACCATTCTGTGATTATGCAGTTTTTCCTCTGTATAAACACATTTGGTTTTGTATTTTCTTGCTCTCAGAGCAAGCAGTTTAAAAACACTTCAATCCTGTTAAAGCTGTTGAACCTACTTTTAAGTATTTATAGAAATTGGACCTCGTGTTGGCTCAGCAGTATCTTGCTTCAGGTGTTGTAAATGAGGCAGCATGTTGTTCCCCTGTCAGGGAACACAGGAGAAACCAGCTTTTTATATGGGGATTAATGTTGTATCAGTGTGGAACCAGTGCAGCCCATCTTCCTGAGGATGTTACAGCTCAGTGGCATTTTGGAGATGCCAAAGCTTCTCTTTTCTCTGCAGGAATATGGGAAGCGTGATAGAACAAGTGTTATTGTGGTAGACTAGGACAGTGACTCAAAGCATTGCTAAGCTAATGCAAAGAAGTTCCTGCTCTTTGTGAAGGCACTTAAGCTTGACCACAATCTTTTTAACTGAAAGCAAAATGTAGTAACAGTAGTCATGTGGTAGGATATTGCAATGACTGCTGAAATCAGTTAGTATATCAGACCTCCCAGTCTGATAGGCTCTCCTCATATTACATGTTTCTCTCTTTTAATACAAATTACAGGAAACAAACAGCAGGCCAGGCCTGTGCCCTCAGATATTGCAGTGATCATGTACACAAGTGGATCCACAGGAGTTCCCAAAGGAGTTATGATCTCCCATTGCAATATAATTGCTGGGATAACAGGAATGGCTGAGAGGATTCCAAATCTGGGGTATGTACCAATGATTGCTTACCAGCAAATAAACTAATCATAGTTGCATGTTCTTTTAGATTACTGTTTAAAAGATCAACTATCTTATATTGCTTTGTCTGGGACACATCGTACTCTACACTGATGTCTGAGCATCTTGCAGTACTGCATTAAATGACATGACTACTTCATGTGCTGTTTGTTCTCTTATCTTCTCTGTGTGGGCAAGACTGGGGCACACAGGTCTGTGAGACTGCCTTGCACTAGTGTTTGAAAGCTTCCCTAAGCAGTACTTCCTTTGGTTAGTGTTAAATTCTGTGGTTTCTTTCTGTTTGGTTCAGTTTTTAATCTTGTCCACAGAGTTGCCTTTGCAACTATAGCAGTGGTTAGTCGTCTTGGGACGAGTAAACCCCACACTTCGTTCATGCCATAAACCTGCAGTATATAGTATGCAACTTTTTAAACAAAACCTGCATTTGAAATGTATTCTTAAGGCAGTTTTCCATTTTCTTTTGTTCTGCAGTAAGCTCTGTATAAATTCAGCTTAATGATTTACCTGCTCACTCTTATGGTACAGAATAAACCTTTTTTTAAAAAAAAAATCTTTTTACAGGGAAAAAGATATCTATATTGGCTATTTGCCTCTTGCCCACGTTCTGGAGCTGAGTGCTGAACTTGTGTGTCTGTCTCATGGATGCCGCATTGGTTACTCTTCACCTCAGACGCTAGCTGACCAGGTATGTTATAGATGTAAGCACTTGCAGTAAAAAAAACCCAAACCAAAACATAAATAATATTGAAGTCAGATCTTTATAATATTTCTTGAAAAATATTACAAGTCTTTTCTGCAGTTCATGGAATAGAGTATGCGTAGTTATTTATGACTTGGACTCTGGACTAGTTTTAATTGTTAAAATATAATTTAAATGAAAATGATCGTTTGAAAGATGTGCTGTGTCATTTTGTTTGTCTTGTTAAAAATCTTGAATGTGTCTTCTAGTAAACATATTCTTTGCTTTAGTCATCTAAAATAAAGAAAGGAAGCAAAGGTGATGTTACTACGCTTAAGCCAACCCTAATGGCAGCTGTCCCGGTAAGTAACTGAAGGAAAAACATTTATAAATATATTTTTAATGTATTTTTAAAAAATAATCCAGATTTTTAACAACAAAATCAATGCAATGATCATTTAAATGAAAATGTTAGAATTTCTGACGTTAAGCTAGTTTATATTTTTTGTATTTATGTTGGAGATAAACATCCATCATGTAAATGTCAATATTTTTCAAAGTTTAAATAACTAGGGTATTAGATCATAATTTTAAGTAGTCATTTGTTCATTATGCAAATTAAGTTTATGTTCAAATGAATGGAATAAAGACAGTTGGCTGCAGGAAGCTTGGGTTTAATTAGTGCTCTTGCTCAGATGTTTGATTTCTGGGTTTCTGTGAACATCTTTATCTCATCAGTGGAAGAGGAAACAACCTGAGAGGGGGTTACCAGCTGAAATGTACTGGAATTTCTAGATCATGTTGCCTTTTTGTACTGAATTTAGGATTTCTGTTTCTGTGAGTTAAAGGTAGTCTTTTTATGTAACTAGGAAATTATGGATCGTATCTACAAAAATGTCATGAATAAAGTGAATGAAATGACTACTTTCCAGCGGAATCTATTTATATTGGCCTACAACTACAAAATGGAACAGATTTCCAAAGGTTACACAACCCCTCTCTGCGATAGGCAAGTTTTTAGTTTTATTTTTCAGTGGCACCAAAAAAATGCTTATCAAAGTCCTACCACATGAGCATTACCTGATTTTTCTAATTTGCTTTACTGTTGACACTTTGAACATGAACAAGTCAGTAATAAAATGTAAATTCAGTAGTTTGTGTGATGCTTTAAAACATTTATTGATATAATTTAAATGAGTGTTATTTAACTTGAAACTGATTGGAAGTTTATATTGATTGCTTTGTCTTCATCAGAAGTTTAATAATGGATTTACACAATTCCTGGGTAAGATGGGAAGTCTGTTCATATATATAACTGTAGATTTCACATTTTCACAGAAGTGAATGGTAAAGTATTTGAAGTTGGAAGGAAGCCGTAAGGATCATGGAGTGCAACTCCCAGCTTCAGTGAGACTAAAGCATAATGTAATTGCAAAATTTATACAGCTTTTTAAAATTATTTTTGAGGAGAAAAAAAAATCAGAATTTTACTGTCTTAAGAAATCTGCAGTCTCTAAACATTTAAACCATCTTCAAATTAGAATGTGGAAACAAGATTATAAATCCTGTGTTCTTGAAAACTTAAATGTGCTCCTTCAGAGTTTTTCTTGAATACCATAAGTGTGTTTGAAGATGGTGCAAACTTTCAGTTTAGATACAGAATTAAGTACTCTCTTGCTTTAAAGTAACAAATACATACTCTTAATCTTTGCATTTTAGCCTTATTTTCCGGAAAGTACGAATGCTGCTAGGTGGAAAGATTCGCGTCCTGCTTTGTGGAGGAGCTCCACTCTCTGCAGCAACTCAGCGGTTTATGAACATTTGTTTCTGTTGCCCTGTAGGACAGGGGTATGGGCTAACTGAATCATGTGGAGCTGGAACAATTATGGAAGGTTGGTGTTATCGCATCCGACTGAGTGCTGTGATCCATGCTGGGTGTTCTGTATATGTCATCTTTGACAGTCTGTTCATTTGCAGTATGCCACCAAATTGTAATTGGAGAATCCTAGGAATTGCATATAATAATCATAAATATATAAAGTAGTAGGAGTACTAATTTTGATACATTGTGCTAAAGCTGGTGACTTACATATAAAAAACATTCTCATTTGTAATAGAGAAACCCGTAATAATGTGAATGGGATCTTGTCATTATTGCACTTAGCAGTTGAACTGAATAAGTCATTTTGAGACTTTAGGAAAATAAAAAATTGAATGCAAAAGCCTGCACCAGACTTTTAATTTCATATCACAGAACTTAGTGGTGTCTGTAACATGGACCTGTAATACAAATGATGCAGTCTGCAGTGATGCTTTTTCAGTAACGAGCCTAGATGCAGAAGTGTTTGGAAATGAGACTTCAGGAAGATGAATTGAAATACAGTATCCCTGAGTTGTTATGAAATATTGCTACTTACCTTAGTCCAGCAAACACTGGTTAAAGTTGTTGTGCCATTTCTGAAGTATGATCCACATGGATAGCTCACTGTGAAAGCTGTGTTGGTGTGACCTGAGGTATCTGTAAATACAGCAATCTGTTCCCTTTGTGGGATAAGTATTTTAGCTGCGTGACAATGATAGATCTGTTGGTTTTCTTGGAAATTTTGTTCTGTGAATTAAAGTTAAGAAATAAATAACAGTTTTTCACTAAATAAGACAACAAAGACTTTTTTTGGTTTTTCCTACTTTTTTTTTCCTGAAAAATGCCTTTTTTTTTTTAATATTTTAGTTTGGGACTACACTACAGGGAGAGTGGGAGCACCTTTGGTCTGTTGTGAAATCAAGTTAATGAACTGGGAAGAAGGTAAGAGTTTCTGTATGTGATTTAATTATAGTGTGTTTATAACAACTTTGTATGGCTATTTTTCTATTGGGCTTTGCCAAGTAGTAGTAATTAGAAATCTATTTCTTGGGTTTTTAATTTTTAAAGGCTACTTTTACCTATAAAATTTGAACTTGGGAGAGGAAAAAAAAAGTAAATTCCTCAGTGGTTTTAAAACTTAAAATATCTAGACAGAGCAATCAATGTGAACGGCTTTTTGCATCAACTGTATTATGACTTTTAGCTATGCTGTATCTTGTATTCACTGTGCTTGTATATGCATATTGTGGAAGTGTATACAGCATTGTACCTCTTTCTGATCTAGATTAGTGTTCTTGCAGGACAGGGTGCAGGCTGTGTATGTTGTGTCTTAGAGGTGCTGGATACAGGAGGCTCGAGCCAAAGTGCCTGCATGATACCTTGTGTTGGCATTAAATTATTTTAAAATGGTCTTCATAATATTATTAATAAATTCATTTTAAATTGGCATATAGAATGGAAGCCTAAAGGCTGCTACACAAAATATATTTAATGAAGTTTTAAATGCAATTACATGATTTCCTTTTTCTGTAGTCTTTTATGTATTGTAGAGTATAAATACTTAATGCTTAAAGGTGTTTGGGGCTAATGTGAAACTTCATAGTTTTTTTTTAATTTCGTAAAATATGAGGTGAAATCTCTTTTGTAGGTTTTTGTTGTAGCTTTTTATGTTTTTGTTTGTTTGTTCGTTCATTTTGGTTTTTTTAATCTTACTCAACCTTGTATAAAACTTGCAGAACATGGTAGAAAGGTTCATAGAATTGAAACTGAACTAGAGGCAAGTGAACTATTGAGGCAGGTGGTAACTTTGTCTAAGGACATAGTAAAGTGTTTAGTTCTATATTTAAATTGTAAAAATAATAGGAATCTTTGCTTTGGAATATATTTCATTTCTTGTTAACTTAACGTGTTCTTTTAGGTGGATATTACAACACTGATAAACCATATCCTAGAGGTGAGATTCTTATTGGAGGGCCAAATGTGACTGTGGGCTACTACAAAAATGAAGTACGGACCAAAACAGATTTCTCTGTTGATGAGAATGGGCAGAGGTGGCTCCATACTGGTGACATTGGAGAATTTCATCAAGATGGATGTCTAAAAATTATTGGTGAGTTAATAAATTCAGGTGGATATATTTCTGATTCTGCTAAATACTTTAATTAACCCCCCAAAATCTCTGTCTCTTTGTATGCAGTCTAAAGCCCTAGCATGTATCCCAGGGAAATTCTGATACGTTAACATAAACTTGATTGTGTGCTTTAAAAGCTGATTTTTGGAACAGTTGCTTTCTTTTAAAACAGTCTTAACATTGACTTCTCTCTATTAGTGAGGCTAGGTACTAATTAGAGACTTATATATAGACTAATGGAGCTAGATGAGCTGCCTTAGATTTTTATGATTTTGTAACTGGAATTTAGTTCATTGAAAGGACTCTTTTGGTGATATGTGCTCAGTAATGGAGCCTTTTCCTAATCTTGTCATTCTTCATAATATCTAGGAGAAAAATACAATGAGGTAAAGGTGTTATACCTAAAGCTATGATAGACCCATAATCCTTTGATACCTATATGGCATCATTCTTGTGCCTATAAACTACCAGATGTGTTTCTTGAAGGTAGCGGATGATTCAGGATTCTCTTCAATCCTGAAAACTAAGCATATTTGGTTTATTGTATCAGAAGAATCGTAAGTCCCATTGCAGCTGTCTTGCACTTATCAGACTGTTCAGCTGCAAAACTACCTTGCCTGGTTGCACAAAGTACCATCAAAATGCATAGTAAAGGAGAGGTACTCCTGGTTGCCCTCACATCTAGGTGGGTAAGGCCCTCTTACCCACCTTATCCTAGTGACCTTTGCCACCTTTGGGCTATGTACAATAAGATCAAGTAATTTGGGCTTAAGTTTCAGTTCCTATTGTGTTTCACGTTACAGGTGGCGGTTGGTCTTTACGTACAGATTTAGCCTGGTAATGAGTAACAAAATGTCACCAAATAGAGCATCTCCTGCCTTAAGCATCTGGACCAGACAGCACAAAGTGTGTCTTCAGACAAAAACTGGCTTTTGAATAGTCCTAGTAGTCTTCCATTCACATGACAGTGCTATCATGCAGGAAATGGTTTTCTAAAGGCACAAGATGCATTAAATTGAAGCATGTCTCATTTTTGATAGGGAAAGATTGATAAAACGCAAAGCTTGAAAACCTAATATTAAATATTTCTGATACGTTCACCAAATGGGAGTCACCTTTTGGCTTCTATACATACATTTCAGGAAAGTATAAAAATCAGTGTCTAAAATCTTCTGTAATTAATATTTAATTCCTGTTTTTCTTCAATAGATCGTAAAAAAGATCTTGTAAAACTCCAGGCAGGGGAATATGTTTCTCTTGGCAAAGTAGAAGCAGCTCTAAAGAGTCTTCCACTGGTAGATAATATTTGTGCATATGCAAGCAGGTAAGAGGCAGCTGCTACTTTATCATTGCTGTATTCTTTGTCCTACTGAAGCCATAAGCAAAATTTTTCACTCAATGTGTGGCATTTTTTAAACCAGTTGAAAAATTATCTTACTTACACAGTGGAATAACTTTATCAAAACTAAACCATCTGATAATGTATGTCTTTATTTTTTCTTTCCCTTTTTTTTCATCATTCATTGGAAAATGCCAAGAATTAGTGTCTTTTTCCTTTTCCCCAGTCTGAAAAGCATCTAAGCTCTGACTGCATTCATAATAGATATCACTCAAGCATTTTGGAGATGATTGCCTACAGAAGACCTAGGACACCTTGTTCATTGGTGTATTTAGCTGTGATGTGTTCTTCAGAGGAAGGGAGGGGGGATCACTAACAGCTCAGAAGCTAGCTTATGCATTGAAAGTGCTTTCCTTAAACACCAGCAGAAGCTTTGCAACTTGAGAGAAAACAGTCTGTAAATACTTTGCACACACACATTTAATAAATGATATCAAATGTCCTTTCTACTTACTTTCTACATGTACAAATGAATTAGACATATATGGGCTCAGAGATATCAGTTTCTATTTCTAGAATTCCCTACCTGTGTATCATATAAACTTAAACATATCAATATACTTCAGGTGGTCTTTGTTTCCTGTTGTCATTTAAATGTTTGGAAAGTAATTTTGGAGTTAATAACGATCCAGAAATACTCTGATTTCCAGTATGGCAAAAAAAAAAGCCCCACTTGATAACTTTGAAAGAGGCCAGGACAAATATACCAGAGAATTGCTCACTAGTAATAAATAGAAAATTAACTTTTGTTCACCTGGTTCTGTGATATTTTTTGTGTTAACTAATGGTAGTCATCCTGGAACTTTATCCTGTAAGTTCAGTTTTGATAGTCGTGGTTCAATAGCCTAACATGCATTGGGCACACCACTGCTGAGGAAAGTTCTGTTATATTAAGCTTTATTTGTGGTTTTGACCCTCTAGGTGAGTCTCGTGTTTGCTTGCTTGGACTGCCTGAGGTTATGTGCCTCTTCTGAGCAACCTCTGTAGTCTGTGGAGAAGGAAGTTCCGACAGGTGGTGATTTCTGCTGGTCTAGGATTGAAATACACTATTGAAATTATATTATCAAATTTTGTGTTAATTTTGTCAGGCCAGCCTAACATTGAAGGCTAAAATGTACTTGTCAGACAGGCACTTGTTTCTGACAGCCTGTGTCTTGTCTATTACCTAAAAGTAGGAAAACTTATGAGCAGTCTTTAAAGGTAATCTAGTAAGTGCAAATACATTCCAGATTGTTTTTTCTAATGCTGCTGTATTTCTCCTTAATGCTTTCATGTGTGTTATTTGGCATAAGTAGCCATGTGCTACAGATTCTCTGAATGATTGTCCATATGCACATTTCATTGTGGGTATACTCACCTCAGCAAGTGTGAGCTTGGAGGCTTTTTATTAGCAATGCCTGTGACCTCTCTTATATCCTGTCTCTCCTTATACTTCTGCCTGAGTGGCAGTCTGATATGCAGGAGGAGGCCAGTTGTAGCTATTCTGTCTCCCACATGCAAAAGGACAAGGAGGACAGACTTCTGGGAATGGGTTATATCTGTGATTTGGCCTTAGATCTTGGGATGCAAATACTCCTCTGAATATGGTAGTAGGGAATCTTGCACAATATTGCTTCTTCAAAAGCTGTTTTAATTGACCACTTCAGCCAAAATACTCAGTGAGATAAGGAATAAAATGCTTCCTGAAAGGAACTGCAATTAAAGTGCCTTCAGAGGAGACTCCTGTTGCTTTATCAGCACTTCACCTATCCAAGACGTGTTCAGTAGGTCTCAAGTGTGATGTCAAGAAAATGAGCAGTTAACAGAGGAATGAGCAAACATGGCAAAAAAACCAAGGGAGTTCTCAACATGAAACTCAAGGACAGCTGATAAAGACCAGACTTTACAGAATGGAGATGGTCATATCCACATGTAGTGTCATTGAGTATGTCTCTTACCGTAGGCCTGAGGGCTGTACTCTAGTAGGATCTCAAGGACAGGAGGGGAATGAGGATCCCTGGTGTAGAAGAGATGTTTTGACAAAATCTCTTAGCATGGAGGAGATGACTGAGGAGGTCCTGAGGACCAAATTCTGAGAACTTCTTCCTTTCTGCTGTTAGAATCTCTAAGACTGAAGATGCAGGCAAATTCAAAAGATCTGCAGAAGAAACAGTAATGGAGAGGGAAGTAGCTGCTTCAGGGAGATGATGTGGTCTTCAGGATACTTCTCAAGACAAACAGTGCTTTAGCATTTGAACTTCAACAAGTGAGGGTACAGAATGAAAAGCTACACATTGCAGGAGCTATGAGTGCCAAGGTGCTCTTTCCAGGAAAAAGCATAGTTGGATAAAACAGCTTGTCCAGAGGAAGTATGCTTTTACTCAGGAGGCTGAATTTTGAATGAACCAAGAGTTTTGAGGCTAACCCTCAAACGGATTACTTTTAGGTACTGTTTATCCCTGGAGACACCGGTGATACTGCTGGACATGACCTTAAGCATGTCAAAAGCCTATGGGTACCAGTAATCGAAGTGCCAATCCTATGTGTTCTGGATGCCTTCATGCATAATGCATGCCTTACAGACCCTAGACAAAGTTACAAGGTTCAGTACAGAGTATAGCATGAGTGGAGGGGAGGTGTGTGGGCAGAGCGGCAGAGACAAGGCGAGATGCATGCAGTGATACTGAGGCTAGTCTTAAGTCTTTCTGTAAGTATATTCTTAATGAAAAATGGGAATGGTTCTGAGTCAGCCCCCAGGCAAAGCCTGTTGACAGATGATGCTAGGGAAGCCTGTGTTTGTAATGGACTTCATGGAATCTTCACAGCTGTTGTCAGATCACTATTACAGCTCATACCCGTAACAAAGGAGAAAATTGCAGTGTGCAGTAACCAAAAGTGTATTTAATGTTTAGAGTTAGTATTTTAAAATTGTCAAAGAGACCTTAAAGGATAAGCTGAAGTACTCATCGTACTGGGTTTAAAGTTCTGTATTTTGTATTAATGATCTGTCTGGTGAAAGAAAGCTATAATTTTAATAAACCTGTAGATGGTTAAGGTGGGACAGTACCAAAGGTAGAGTGGAGGACAGCATTAGAATACAGATCAAGCTTGACTAGAGAGAGATTTGTCTGAAAACAGCAAAAGCAATCAGTTTAAAGAGAGGAAATGTAAATTACACTTAGACCTAAATAAAATGCAGAAATACAGGATGAGGACCACCGGCTGCTAGCAGTTCTGCAGGAGCTGACATGAGTCAACAAGTGCCATGCCATTATAAGAAGGTAAATAATATGGCAGAATCAGATTTATAGCCTACAAAATGCAGAATGATCTTCTTGCCAAGCATTAAAGGGTCTGGGTTCTGCATGCAACACTTCAGAAAAGATGGGCCTCTTGAAAAGAGTCCAGGAAAAAATGGGAACATCTGGGCAGAGAGAGATCTGTGATACATGTGAAGGTCATTGCTTAAATTCCTAAACTTAAAGGAAGGGAAGACTAGAAAGGTGAGAAGGAAAAAAGGTAACAGTGAATGAATAAATGGTGTCTGTGTAAAGGAGAGGAATATCTCACTATTGGCTGTATGAAAAATACAACTGATGTGAGCTGCAGAGAATAAGAGTCAGGAATAGCCATCATCTTAGCTTACCAGTGCTAGGAATAAGGAAGCATTGCTGTGAAGAGTTTGCCTGATGTTTAAGAATGCATTAGACAAACATCTGTTATATGTTGTTGACTTTGTGTAAAGGCAGGCAAATGAATTTAGATGATCTTCTGAGATTGCTTTCAGCTCCCTGATTCTGTTATGTGAGGTTCTCATTTTTCTTGGACTTTACGCTATCTGAAAGATCTGGAATACCTGTTTCAGGACAAACTGTGCTTTGGTGTTCTTTGAAGACTTTCTGAGATCACAGCTTCATATGTGCTGGGCATATCGGGAACAGACAAAGATTGCCAACAGTAGAGTGAGCGTATGGACAATCACTTGAAAGAGAAGTCACCGCCTTTACAGAAACAGGCTTTCTTTGAGATGTGTTGTGCATATGCTCATTCCACAACCTGCTCCCCAACCCCTCTTCACTGCAGTCCTCTACTCCTCTACAGTAACTGGATTCTGCAGTTGAGAGGAATCTGAGGTAGGGAAGCCGCACACCAGTCTTCATACCGGGATGCAAAACAGGAGAGGCAGGGCGCATTGACATCGTATGGGTACTGCTTCCCCAAAACTTTGAGCATGAGGCACAGTGGAATATGCATATGGACAGCACACCTTGAAGCAATCCAGTTGCTGTAAGGTAAGTAGCTTCTCTTTCTATTTATTTTTAAGCAGGCAAAGGTGATTTGTGTACTACTTGAGAAAGGTTATCAGGTGAACAAAAGCCAACTGTTAAGAGCAATATCTCTGTGTTAACTGTTAACTGCGTTAACAAATTGAAATGTTATTTTTGAAAACTTTTTAACTTTACAAAATTCATACTAAAGTATGTTATATTTCTCAGTTTCCATTCTTATGTCATTGGATTTGTTGTGCCAAATCAAAAGGAACTTGCAGAACTAGCTCGAAAGAAAGGATTTAAAGGAACCTGGGAAGAGATCTGTAACAGTCCTGAGATGGAAAAAGAGGTACTGAAGGTGCTAGCTGAGGCTGCCATGGCAGGTGAGTAGCTGGGCAGATTGTATTAATCTTGTGGACTGTAATGTCCATGAAACAGATAAGCAGAGGCCTAAAAATATTTCCTTGAGAGAGTATATTTCATAAAATATGTATGAAGCTCCTGAGAAATTGATGTGTGCGTGTGTGTGTCTAGTGCTCTTTATGATGTCCTGTAGTAGCTTTTTGGCCTTAGCTGCTTGCCCAAAAGAACGTGGGTCATCTGTAGATCCATGTATGTTAGGGATCATACAGTCTGACATGTTACGTGCCAGTGCATAGTTGAAATAAGCCCGTGGTGACAGGGGCTCTCCTAGTTTCCAGTGGCTTGCATCCGAGGGGTTTCCTGAACTGAAAGCAGTGTCCTTAGTTAATAATTTTCAGTACTTTTCTTCCATTAACTCTTCTAGTCACCTTTTTAAAGTTGTGTAAGTATTCTGTATCAGTGGCAGAGTTGCACAGCTCAGCTATGCTCATGTGAAGAAATGCCTCTTGTTTGTTTTAACTCTGCCATCTGCTAGTTCAATTTCCTTCTGCTGAGCTCTTGTATGGGAAGAGCAGTGAAGAGTCACAATGGTAGTTGTGATTTTTTTTTTTCTTTTTCCCCATTGTCTGTTATGCTTCCCCTCTCAGCTGTATCTTCTTTCATGCTAATTGGTCATAGTCTATTCAGCTATGCTGGTGCAGAATTAAACAGCGGCACAGTGACATTTTGTCTGTTCTTCCATAATAATTTCTGCCTTGTTTTTTGCTTTTGACTATTACAAAGCTCTGAGCTTTTTCAGTAAAGCTGTTGGTTATGAAAACAAAATGTTGGGTTTTTTTCTAAATGGCCATTGTTAAACTTGATTTTCTTATGCATTCTTTTTTACACTTTTATGCAATGATGTTTTTTACTACGTGTTTTGCACTCACTTCATGTCATGATGTCCTCCTGCACCTCTTTGCAGTTTGTCCCCATCTTTTTTACCCTGGATAACTTCATGCTTTCAGCTATCTTTATCTTGTTGAATCTTTGTCTCTCCTCCATATTACTTGTATTAAACTCTGTGATAAGTGTATTTGCAGACTTCTTTTATAGGAGCATACTCTTATGAGGCATGTAAACTCTACTGCAGCAGACTTCTTTATCTTGCCCTGTGCCTCCAGTCCTTTTTTAATTCACTGCATGGAGCTTATGGGCAAAGTCACTCTAAGAATCTGTTGAGATGGAGAGCATGTACAAGGTCACTTTCCTCATTTTTGTGTAGCAGTAACTATTTAAAAGAGAATTAAATATGTCAAAATTCATGAAATGGAATATTTGATTTAATCCTGAGGCATGTTTGCACATTTTGTTACTTCATATTTGGTTTTTGTTTAAATCTGCTATCATAGACTTTTAAAGTAATTTAATGATTTTTAATGCTAGATTGCAAAAAAAAAAAACCAACAACCAAAACCAAGCCAAATGATCTAATGTCAAGGGGAGTAAAGGCACAGGGAAATCTAAAACTGACAGGTAGCACAGAATAATTTCATATTTGTGGGTTTTTTCTGACCAGAAAATAATTCTAATATTGCCCATCTGTTGATGTCTTTGTTTTTTAGTTGTTGTTGTTTTTCTTCTATTACGTCTGAAAGCATAATAGAAACTCTTGCAAAGGATACCGGTTTACGCTAAAGGTGTACCATGCAGAGCACTACTCTGTTTCAGTGAGGGGAACAGCTGCCAAATGAACTTACCTTTCTTGAACAGTTGAGAGCTATCAGGGGAAAAAAAAATCAACCTAACCACCCACCCAAAACCCTGTTTCTTCAAGCTTAAGTAATATGGATTTTAAGACTATTTCCAGAAGATGGGATCATAACACTGATATAACAGTGTATATTTTGAGGCTGTCAGTTCCACACAGGGGGGATTTTCTGAAGTTGAGGAACAGCACAGGTACCCAAACAGCTGTGGTTTATTTCTATTCCTATGGAAACTGGAGAGCAGTTTCTGATGGACCCTGTCACTCTACCTGTGACCCACACGGGCTTGCAAAGCTAATGGTGGGTTTGAGGAACACTTCATTTATGTCACATGCTTTTCTGTGTGAGAATACAGTTCTTCCTTTTGCGCTCTTAATTGTAGAAGCATGCTTACATTTATGTTTTGTATTTTACAGCTAATCTGGAGAAGTTTGAAATACCAGTAAAAATTCGCTTGAGCCCTGATCCTTGGACCCCTGAGACTGGTCTGGTGACAGATGCGTTCAAGCTAAAACGCAAAGAGCTCACAGCATACTATCAGATGGACATTGATCGATTGTATGGAAAAAATGTAAAATAATTCCTTTTTTCTGCACCACTTTTCTACAGTGAGCTTGGATCAAATAGGAAATACTTGAATTGCCTGTCTCAGCACTTGAGGTCAATACAGGAAACTACCATCCCTCATTTTCAGCTTAAACCTGTTATTTCTGATAACATCACCATGATGACTGGCAACTTTAGTAAAATGTTATGGCAGCAAACCTGTGTCTGTCTCCTTTTTTCTGGTCTTCTCTGCTACCTTGTCAGTCTGTGATTTTTCCCCAAGTCTTTTTGGGAAACCGTGTTTCTGAAGCCTCAAGTTTTTAAACACTTATAAATCCTGTATAATGTTTTATTTGTATCTTTAAAATTTGGATGTATATAAAGAGAACTTGGCTATATAAGAAATGGTTATACTGGAGGCCTTTTTTTACCTAATTATTTAAAGATAAGAAGGTATTGATGTTGTGACATTATATACATTGAAAATGCTTGTAACAAGGTCATTGTCAAACAGAGAACCATGTTGTTTGTTGCTGTGCTAGTTTTCTGTGTGAATTTGAGGGAGAAAATGTTTGACATTCCAGCTTCTGTAATACACTTCTAATATGTGCCTAATGGTTACTTTTATCTGAAAATGAAAAGGTGGTCATGGCACAGCTCTGCATAAAGGCAGGTACCCTTGCAGGTATTAGTTTGTGCTTATTTAATGCAAAAGATGCTATTAACACAGCGGAAGTTAAACCTAAGAATAATCTCTCAAATACAGAAACTCCTTTTTGACATGGCTCATGACCATTTCATCCAGTAGTTGAATTGTGTAAAGCTAATATGAAATCTCAGCATAAATTCACGTAACACTTTGTAAGTTTGACAGTGTCCTCTCCTTTTAGCAGAGGGACTATAACAGCTTTTGTTGTTTCTCGTTAGGTTTGGACATTACACTTGGTTTGCTCTTCCATTGTTTGTGAGAGTCTGGCAAAACCCCTGTTCTGCCTAGCTGCAACCCAAATCCAGCTGGGGGGATTTTTAAAGTCATAATGACAGTTATGTTCTCAGCTCACACAGTGCCTAGCTGCCCTTTGTGCCATTAAAAATCTCCCTTTAATTGTGTGTTCTTCTATTTATAATTTTTTGCTTTAAAAACCCATATTTGAAGTATTTGTCAGCTGGAGTTACTTATGTTGCTCGGTTTGTTACACCCAGTTCTTACCTTGGGAAGGAGTTTCAATTCCTGTTTTACTATAGATACGTGAGTATTGTTTGACAAACTAAGGGGGATCTTTTCCTCTTCAGAGAATGTTTAGGTTTGTTTCAGATGTGAATTTTATTTTCAGAATATTTCTAGAAAGACTGTTTTAAGCAGGGTTACATGAGAATGTGGAAAGGCATAACATCAGTCAACTTCTTGATGGAGCAAATATTAAAATGGCTTTAATTTGGAAATTATTCTTTCATGCGTATCATTTACTTGTACTAAAAATCAGGGTCTTGATGCTTGCTTAAGTACCCAGCTATGGTAGCATGTAGCAATTGTGAATGGCAGAAGCTTTGTGGAGGGAGTTCCTGCTGTTAGCATTTGTGACATGGGAGCTATGGGAGAAGTTTGCTATACATATTTTCATTTTAAAATCCTCTGAAATGGTATTTAACTGCTTTCTATGATTCATTGATCATAGAAAGCTGCTTTATAGGAGTTGAAAGTTATCAAGCAGGTTCTTTGTGTTTTAGTTTTGATGACATTACACAGTTCGTATTGTATTTTGTTACATCACCTTCTCTCCCACTGCTTATGTCTGTGAAAAACTGCTAACCGTTTGGTGAATTCAGGTGTAACTTGTCAAATGGAAATAGAAGCAATAAAAAGAAATTGGAACTGCATCCCTGAGATTAATGCCTTGCTATATCTAGGTTATAAATTAAAACCTTCTGGGAAATACAGTTAAGACTAATGTTGGAAAATGACTGAAGAATCCAGATTCCAGATGCGGAACTTGCCAAGTCTGTAGGGAAGTGTCACACCATATATTAGGCATTACTAATATTTCAGTAGGTATCTGTGCTGCATCAGCAGGTTCTTAAATAGTTCACACTCAGCATAGGATGTACATTGTTCAAATATTTTTTGGTGCTTATTTTAGTGAAAACGAATAAATTGCAGAAGTACTGTGTATATCACTTGGTTCATTGTTCAGCAGATTGAAGAAAATAAATCTGTCTTTGGTTAATTCAGCAGTCTGAAGTTAATATTTTATTCTGCGAAGGGTTTAGATCCACTTCTGGGTAAATTGCGTAAATTTTTTTTTTTAATGGTTCGCAAATAATAGTTTTAATTTTTCTTCTAATCCAGTCACAAGATAGGGTTGCAGTCTATCTGTGCTTTTGTTTTTACATTTCAGGGGTTTTGTATTTAAAATGGATATCAATATATATAGTTCCTCTTTCTTCAGATATCAGATTCATTATGGACCTTTATCTCTTCTACAGGATGTGAAAACAAAGCAGTTCATTAACTTTAGTCTGAATGCTGGAAATAGGTTTTAAAATATTTGTATGGGCTTCAAATATTTGAGTATGGTTTTTCCTTTGATTTATAAAAGAAGACTGACTTTAACAGTGCAAAATTCTGAGTACTTCCACATCCGATTAAAGCCATCTGTCCTGTGGGTGCCCATGCTTCTCACTAATTGACCAGGGCTATAATGGTGTGGTAAATCACAGCTGCTATTGCTGCTGTTCAGGTGCTGATCTTCCTTGCTCTGACAGTCTTAATGCTGCAGTCTGGTCTGCCTGTCAGACACTTTGTGTTGTCACTCAGTGCTCGTGTTGCTGAGCAGCAAGATGACTTAAGGGGAGTTTGCTGCAACCCTGCATGGATGCAGTACATGTCAGCCAGGAACTTACCTGGTCTATTTTTTTACCTTTTTTCTCTATATCTTCCAATGCCCAGCGTAACAAGAACAGAAGCACCTGCTGGAATGCGTAGCATGTGTCCCAAATGCTGTGGAGTAAATTGGGAACTTAAAGAGCATGGTTGGAAGTCATGATCTCCATCACATGGGGGATTTTGTAGTGGAAAGAGCTGCAATTTTTAAGTCTTTCTAGAGTTCAAACTAGGAACATATACCTCACATGAGTGGCCCCCAAAAGGGGGGATTTTTAATAAAGCTTTTATATTTGTAAACTTCCCAGGACTCTGAGTCATTGGAAATTGTAATGACGTACTCTGTTGTGAAAATTTGCATATTTCATTATAAAAAATGACCGAGAAATTCCAAGGGTGCTGTGAATCTTCAGATTCCTACCATTATTTAAGAGTATTTTGGGACTTTAGGCTAACTTCAGTGTGGATGTCATAAGCGTTCTTTGCAATGAATAGTATTTCTGGAGTAGGTTAGGGAGTTAAAAAGTTACATGCCAAAAATCCTTGCAAACTTACCGATACTGCTGCTGCAGTTTATACACAGGCAGGACTATATCCCAGTGAGAAGCTGTGTACCAGTAGTAAAATGTTTTGCTGAAACAAGCAAAAACCCATGTGCAGCTAAAACAGAACATGATGTATGCCTTCATCCTACTGGTTTTATAGGTAGAATGCAGAAATGGATATGGAATTGAAACTGTACATAACATCCTGTAAAGCTTGTAAATTTGAGCAGAAATTGCTATAGGACCTAAGACTCCTTTGCAGTGACCTTTATCCTGCTAAAATTCACAAGCTTTTATTCTATACTAAAACTATATCTCAGTGATGCAATGTAGCATTTTAATTTTTATTGATGTGATATATTAACTACTTTGGGCTCTGTAAAACTGTGTACATCTGTTTCTTCACTGGTGAGAGGAACAATCTCCAACTTGCATACACCTTGGACCAGGCTGAAAAGTTAATTGAATGGCCAGCTGTATGTTATTGAATTGGTTATTTAATGAAAACTCATTTTTAGTGGGATCTTGGTTGTTACGATGAACTGCCCGAACATTGTATATCCCTAATTGAGTTATGTTGTATTAATTATTTATTTGTAACTGGGTACTGTGTTACAAAAATAAAATTAATTTCGCAAATCAGGTCCCATATGTCCAGTTTTTTAAGCGGCATTTTGTGTTTATCTGTCTGAGCCTACATGATTTACATAAACTACTAAGTTTAAATCATCTGAGCTGGATACATGGCTGTTTTAAGAAGGGTTGTGGGTTAGGACAGTTCAAAAAGGAACCTGTCTGATTGGTGGGTATGTCCTCTTGGTTTGCTCCCTGCCTCACGTTGCTGGTAACCCTTTGCAAAAGGCTCCATTCCTGCATTGCTCATCTTTGGTTCCTTGGCCCTTTGCTATGTAAGCAGCCACGAGCTTGTGTGTTTCAGAGAGTGAATGTGCTGGTTGATGACTTGGCCATTTGTGCTGTACAGGTATTGCTGATGTGTTGTTCTGTAAATATTGTTGTTAGTGAGTTCTTGTGTCTGGACTGGGTGCTGGACCCTTATGTGCTGGGCTTGCTAATTCAGCAGTAGAAATGATACAGCCTTTTGAATCTCTTATTTCAAGTCTTGTCCAATATTCAAAATAAATGTTTCTGGATGAATGCAGAAACACCAGTTATCAGGTTAACCTGGGTTGACACTACAATACAGTTACCATTCTGTTTTGTCTGTTTTATTTGCATATGATCAATTTACCCTGTTTTTCTTTTTTAAGAGCACCAGCTACGGTAATACTTTATGTCAAGCTGTTTGTGGGCTGAAGGGGTTTTGATCATGTAAGGTTTTCCTTACAAGCACGCAAACAGTCACTGGTAACGATCCAACCTGGAGGCATCACGCTTTACAGATGCCTCTTTTTCTCCTTTATTTTTTGAGGGGGATGTATGTGTGTGTCTTCACAGGTTCCCCAGATGCATAAGGTCTGCCTAGTGCTGGCTGGCCAAATATCAAGCCTTCGCTGTGGCATAGCTGATCCTTATTTGTATCCCTTTCATCAGCCATGAGAAGGCTTCAGCTTCCTCCTAATTTTCAATTACATTTAAAGTTTATTTTCTTAAAAAATACTGAGTTTTTATGGACTAAAAACTTCTTCCCTCCCCCCCACGCCCCATGAATTTAGGGCAATATGACACACTTTGATTTCCCCTTCCCCTGCCCTTAGACATCCATAGCTACTAAAATGCCTTTAGGGGGCTCCTTAATAAAATGTAAACAAATTCTGAACTATTATAGTAGGTAATTTATGACAGCAACCAATTTCAGAAAGGATAAGCATGTAACCATTTTTGGTTTATTTACTTTTTAGCCTTATTTTTCAGAAAATATTATGTTAAGGAAGCAATTAGAGAGGCACAGGATCCAAAACAATAGACACAAATTACAAATGAAAACAGTGGAGTCCTGAACTGTTGTCTACAGCAGAAAAGCAGATGAGAGATTTAATATCTTTTAATGTTCCTGTGTATATACAGTTTATGTGCCACCGCATGGTAATAGCTGAGAAATGACCTTGCAGCCAGAGGGCTGCAGCTGGGTGACCAGGCCCTCCCTTTGTAAAAGGGGAGAGCATGTGAAAGGTGAAGGGTGTGGAAAATTACCACTGTCCTTCCTTAGAAATCGTGTGTGTAAAGTGGATTTGTCATCCCTTGGCAAGCTGAGGGAGCAGGTGATGATGGGTCAGCATTTACTTTGGGCTGGGAAGGCAGTGGTATACTTTACTTTTCAGGAATGAAAGGGTTGCGTAGTTCTCACCTGCCTCCTGAGGTGACAGTGAAAATTGGGAAATTAACGCATGTTCCCAGGAGGGGTAGCTTTGGTACATGGATAACTGAAGCCAAACTGCTGGTCCAGAACTGATGTTGGTGGGCACATCTGGGTGGGGTCCAGCTGCTGTGGCTGCAGGGACAGCAAGTGCAGATAGCTCCAACCTCTAACACCAGTAACTTTCAGCAGATCGTCTCTGTAAGACTTGAATCCCAAATTTCATTGCATACTGATTTAAACCGAGCATTTAATTCCTGCTTTACAAGGGAACCGCTGTTCAGCTTTACCTGCCTGTCTACCTAACATCAGGATGTTGCAGCCTTTACCACAGGGCTGGGTGTTGGACCACTTGTGTTTGCACGTGGTCCTGGGTGGGCATCCCCTAACTGCTGCGTGGTCCCCAGTGTGAGACAGCTCACAGAAAAGCAAACGCTGTGTCCCTGGTGGGGCAGAGGGGTTCTGTTTGCTCTGAACACTGGTGCCTGAAGGAGTGGTGTGACTGTTCATAATAACATATTCTTTGCATGTAGCACCAAAACGATGCTTTATTTCAGGCTGCAGGGTTATGCAGCACTGCCAAGTGCAACAGCAGGAAAAAAGGCACATGCCACGTTTTAATCCCTCTTCTGATGCGCCCTTTCCCACTCGATTGCAAGCATGTGTTTAGTTTACTTTTTTGTCTAACTTTCTATTAGTGACA